TAGGGTTTTTACGTGTTTAAAAACTGAAGATCAATTGGGTTTGAAACCAACACGAATCCGACCCGAAAACTGAAACCTGGCATGTCTAGGAATTCCCGATAGTCGACTACTCCTGTTTAGTAGTCGATTACATTGTAATATATAAGATTCTGCCAATTGATTACGGGCTCTTAGTAGTCGACTACACTGTACATTAGTAGACTACTAAGGGTCTGTGCAAGCTCATTCATTCTCATATTCGAGAATATATAGCCAAAATGATCTTAAATCAATTCCTAATGTACTCAAATATCAAAATATGCTATTTAGCATAGTATAACATATTAAATATTATTTATTACATAATATTCAAATTTGTAGGGTTTTACACTATCCTCATTGTGTTGCTGAGATCGGGGAGGAAGAATGGGAAAGAATGAGGCGGTACCTCATTAGGACTTCGAGGGTTAGCCCTCAATATGGATAGAAGCCTGACCTAGCGCACCGCTACCAGCATGCTCACCACCTTGGTGTTAGGGGGATGGTCCTTGGTTCTCGCCTGACTCAGTCGAGGTTGGTCGAGTAGTTCTCGCTTCCTCGGGATGAGGAGTTCTTGCAGGGGGTTCCTAATGCCGGTCTCCACCTAAGTCTTCGGAACTACTTAGTTCAAGGCGCTTTGGTGGAGCAAGAGATATACGGCTGGATGGAGCAGATCCAGACCTTATATCTCAAGCTTACAGGGGAGGTTGCTTCCTTGAGGGCCGGCAAAGTGGTTGACTCAGAACGGGCTGCGGAGTTGTCAGCCCGAAGAGCTTTCGAGGTCGACAAGCTCAGGCAAGAGCTGGATGAGAGCAACAAGAAGGCCAAGAGACTAGATGAGGCACTCTAGGAGATGGACCATGCTATGGTGCAGGTCGACGCTGAGAAGCAGGCAGTGATACATGCAAAGCGTCAGATGGATAAGGAGCATGCAGAACTCATCAAGCTTCAAGGGGAGGTTGTCCATCTACAGGAGTCCTTAGCAGTGGCCCAAAGTCAAAATGCCTACCTAAAGTCTGAGCCTTACCATCAGGAGATCATAGAGGGGTATCACCAGAGCCTAACTAGAAAAACAGAGGTAGGAATAGCCTATAAGGTTGGGTACGAATACCTCTCGGTGCAGCTTTTAGTCGAGATGAGGAACTCGCCTGATCGCTTCCACTATCCTCCCATCATAGCCAAGTGACTGAATGAGTTGGTGGAGGTGGAAGTACTTGGAGGGGGGACCTGACCTTAGCGAGGAAGAGGGAGAGTCAGACGAAGGAGGAGACTGCTCGACTCCTCTGCCAGCTGCTCCCATTGGCTCCTTGCATATGACTCCAGGAGGAGGAGTGTACCTCTCTTAGTCTCATAGGGCTTTCATGTTTCTCGCTTTTGTGTTGTATATATGTACATATGTACCTTGTAGATACCTTATAAATAAATAAAGAGAGATTTTTAAGCTAGAATTAATTTTCTTGTGTTGTGCAATCTCAATTTATATCTTCTAGATGAATTAGCTCTATCATAGACTTGAACTTGACTGCTGACTCAAGGGGACTAGTCCTTTGTTGAGAAGACACGTCTTGAACTCCAGTAGTTGTTTCTGTTATTTTTGTCTTGGGTTGCTTCTAGCTTTGTTCTGATTGAGAGAACAAGTACTGATTATTATGAGTCGGTCGTGTTGTGATGACCCCGAGTGTTGAGGGTCAGGATGACTGGCTCATTTTAGGCCTTTTGTTAGCGAGATGTCCAGGTTTTTCTATCGAAGAAGACCTGCAAGTGGCCCGGAGGTTTGGTGCCTAGGTCTTAATGAGGACGTCTAGGTTTTTTTGGCAAAATAACAATCTGGAGGTTAGGTGCCTAGATCTTAATGAGGATGCGTAGGTTTTTTCGGCAAAATGATAACCGAAGGTTGGGTGTCTAGGTCTTAATGAGGGTACCCAGGTCTTTTCGACAAAATAACAACCTGGAGGTTAGGTGTCTAAGTCTTAATGAGGACGCCTAGGTCTTATCACCCCACTTGGGGTTAAGTCGTAAATGCAGAAGTCGACCGAATGGCAAGTATGCCTTGGGTTTACCCTGCGAAGGCACCAATGGCTTAGGATTCCTGCACAAATTAGGCACTATGAGAGTGCAAAATAAGAGTCAGTTTCAAAAAGGATTTCATTGATAATGAATGAAATTTTTGTACAAAATTATTGAAAGTATATTATGTTGATGACCCCTTATGGCTTGGCTCCGAGGGTCGGCTATCCTAGTGTGATCGAGGACGAGGCAACCGCGAGCGGGATCTCTTGTCGGTCTCGCCTGGGCTAGCTTCTCTTTGGTCTCTATGAAAGACAAACTTCTTCATGTACCCTCTCTCGATCAGGTCCTTGATGTCCCTCTTTAGGATATGATAGTCATTGGTGAGGTGGCCGTGATCTTTGTGGTAGCGACAATACTACCTGATGTTTCAGCCCCGGGGATCCGACCTCATCTTGGGAGAAGGCTCTTTGAGGTGCCCCTCCTTCTGAACTATGGTGAGAGTTTCTATGAGGGAGGTGTTGAGGACTGTGAGAGCAGGCCTTGGCCCCTGGTCCCTCCGTCAGTCCCTCCTATCGGACCGATTGGAACGGGAGTCGACTCTCAGGGTATCTCGGCCGCTCCTGCATCGCAGAGGGGCCTCTAGCCAACTCTAGTGTTGGCGCTATCACCAGTGCTATTGCGGATGCGGGCAGTGCTGGTGCTAAAGTCATGGTTGTGGAGGTCTATGCGGCCCTAGTTGCCACCTTATAAGCTCGGGCATCCTCCATGCCTATGTACCCATGAGTTTTGGCCATCAGCTACTCATAATTGGCGATCGGTTTCTTGGAAAGTGAGATGGCCAACTCGTTGCTCTGCAAGCCAGCCACAAGGGCAGACATAGCAACCACACTCCCTGGGTCGTTGACATCTAGCCTCTTCGCCTAGAACCTCTTGAAGTAGGCTCGAAGGCTCTCTCCGGGCCCTTGCCTCATCTGGATTAACACATAAGAGGGCAGCTTCCGTTTAGTGTCGACCAGGAAGTAGTGGATGAACTTTCGACAGAGTTGCTGAAAGCTGCTGATGGACTTCTTCTTAAGAGCGTTCCACCAGAGCTTGGCACTCCCCGAAAGAGTGATGAGGAAGCATCAGTAGATAACCGCTTCTGATGCTTGGAGCATACTCAACACATCATAGTAGTTTTGAACATGCTTTGAGGGGTCTCCCTCGCTCTTATACTTCTCCATGTGAGGTATCTTGAACTTTTTACATGGTACGTTCATGAGATCATCAGAAAGGGGGTGTTCCCCTCGATGGCTTCTGCGACCAATCTGTACAACCGGTCTTATCCAGAGGCCCTACGGTAGTAGAGGGGGCTAGAGAGGCATGGTGATGGGGAGACTCTTAGAGATTTCTCCCCTAATGCAGTCTCGATGGTGACCAGGGCCGGAACTCTCGCCGGTGACTTCGGGATGAGGGAGAAGACGTCGACGAGGCTCTTCAGGGTGAGTCGACTAATGAAGTAGCAGGGTCGCGAGCTTGCTGGTGAAGGTAGGGATTTGTTGTTGGAGGGACTGAGAGATCTTCTGAGCTATTTTGTCAAGCTGAGTTTGAGTATCGTAGCTCTGGTGTGGTTCTACAGGGTGAGACTGATCAGCCCTATGCTCAGAACCAGACATGCTTGCTCGAAGAAGAAAGAAGGCCCAACGGTGGGTGACAAACTGTTAATGTTAAGCAATTAAATAGTAAAATATATAGGGGTGAGATTGATTTAGGGGCGCTCACTTCTTCGAATATCTGGTCTTGAGTTTAGTAGCTTCAGCCTGCACAAATAGCAATTCGTGAGAGGGCAGGGTTTAGTTCCCCCGTTGTACCTTTGACTATCAAGTCAGTTGGTGAACTTAAGTAGAAAAATAAAAAACTGTGTGAGTTCTTTAGTATAGTGCAGTATAATTATCAGATATTGCTTGGAAAAATATCCTAGCCATAGCTTGGCAGAAAAAATGATCCTCCTTATGTTGAGAATAGTACCTCTATTTGTAGTGGTGTTGAAAGGGTAGAGCCGTCATTTCGGTCGAGCACAGGATGACAGTAAATAAGCATGGGTTGGCGGCTGCGTCAGCACCTACTTTACATGTGTCGGTCGATGAGTGGATGAGAGATCACCTCAACATGAAATGAGAAGTGATCGGAGGCATGGCGGTATTGACATGGTCCGATGAGTCATGAACACTATCGGGGCTAGAGGTATGATGGGTCTGCCAAGCATTTAATGTGACGCCGACGTGCTGTCAACGATAGAGACTCGAAGCTAAAGTCGTCCTTTAGCTTGGCCGAGAAGTAACGCCTTTCGAGTCAACCTCGCGAGGCGTCGAATAACTGGTCGAGTGGGCTCGGTGCAAGTCGTCTTCGACAAGAGGACCGATAAGTACCGCCATTCGAGTCGATCTAAGGAGATGTCGACTCGGCGGGTCGACTAAGTTGAGATTCTTGGTGGTTTTGACCGTCAATCTGATTTGAGCGGTGCATGTAAGGGGATACGTGTTCGTTGCTAGCAAAGGGTCGTACTTTGGCGACTGAAAGCACCATAACAAGAGGAGGTATTTAAGTAATTGCAGATGTTGAGTTAAGAGTCAACCGTGTTAAACAAAAGCTAGAAACGGGGCTAAAATTACAAAAGCTAGAAATGTGGATTTAAGGGACTAACGAGCGAAATTGAGATTTGAGTGATTAATTTGCAACTATGGATTATCTAAGGGACTAGTGTGCAATTGACCCATGAATAACAAACGTATTGGGTATATTCTTACATTTCCAAATTAATTGGGCTGTAGCAAGAGCTTAACCTTTTTGAGACCTAAATGTCAAATGCCCAAACTATATATTTTTTTTTTTCTTGGGGACCAACCAGGCGACTCCCGAATACTCCTGAATCCTAACCGGTTCGAATCCCAATTTGGGTCAGGTCCACAAAACCATACAGAAATATCCCAAAGGATAAAATGGAATCGTGGAACGCAATCTCTCTCTCTCTCTCTCTCTCAATCTGAACTCATGGCGCTTAACTGCACCTCCATTGCCCGTTTCAACCTCCACTGCTTCCAGAGCTCTAAAGGTTTCGTGCTCTTCCTCTCATTTACTCCAATGATTCTCCGTCTCCACTGACCAAAAAAACTAATTCTTTTTACTCCTCATACTTGCAGGACGCTTTCTTGGAAAAACCCATCATCTGAAATTATCTGTAAGCCCTCATTCTTCTCTCGTGTTTACTCGAGCTCCAACCCTCACAATATGTTGCGCTTGTTTATTCTTTCTTTGTTATGAATGATGGTGAAATTGTTCAAATGCCAAGTTTATAACCCAAGTTACTTTGGTTCTAGTGATGCTCCTGTCGGTGTTCGTTATGTACAAATGAAGTAGAAAACGTGCTAGTTAATCTCTGAAAATAGAGAAAATTGATGCCAAATTTTCTCTAGTTAATAAATAACTCAGCTAGAGAAAATTGATACACAGAGAACTTAATTCTTTAGAGTCTCCCATTCCCCTTTTCTGGTACATGAAGAGGAAGGATGTAGGAAGAAGTATGGGAGGAGATGAGATGAAAGATCAGAAAACGAAAAGGACTAATTCCTCTTCGAGAGCACTCTTCTCAAATCATAGAGAACATTGAAATATAAATGATCGCAGAATCGACGAACGGAGCAACAAGTTTTAGATGAATTTTCTCTATTTATAGGCCAGAGTGGAAGTTACCTACATTGTTCATTCAAGATTGAGCATATAATACCATGCATATAAGGAGAAAAAAGCTATGTTGCACGGATAAGGGTGCTAGTGTGGATATGGACACGAGTGCAAATATGGGACACGGCGAGTTGTAAAAGTTAGGATATAGAGACACAGCTATATACATACATATTAAGATTAATAATATATTTCAGGTCGACATTGTTTTTACATTCACGTGATATGAGAACTAAGATCTTTATACAATATTTATGTTTCAATTATTGAGTATATTATAAATTGAAAAAATCGATTGTTTTTTAACTAGATACCCAAACGATCCTTTGAAATCATACTTATGAACTAGGTATATGCTAAAACGAACCTGTCCTGAGTCTAACAAGTTGAATAAATTTGAGGTCAATATACATTCAAGAAGTATATCAATAGCTTTTGAACTAAACACGCGTTATATAATTGAGTACGCTTCTGAATAAATGTATGTGTATATTCAAAAAGTGTCCGCCATAGACACGGATATGGGAAGTGTCGCACACGGATACAAGAGCCTAAATGACATGTCCAGGTAACCCAGTGAAGGAGGCTCCCTAGATATCAAGGCCTTTTGATTTTGCCTCCATTCTAGTGATAACCACAAGTTTCAGATATTCCTATGCCGTCCTCAAACATGTCGTCCCATTTTCCTACCTAATATGGTTAACATCATCCATATGTTCTTTTGCTTTTTCTTCAGGTACTATATAGTGTGTATTCATAATTTTGGCTGTTGATAGGCACATATGAACACAATCACTTGAAAAATATTTTTGATAGAATGCCATAGTAATCTCTGTGTCTCTGACAGGGTATTTTACATATTACTATTATTCAACTGCAACGCCTTTCATTGTCGCGGACGCAACTCACTAACATAAGCATTTTCAGGGATTCACCAAACCAAAAGGCCAACTGAACAAAACAATGATCACCTGCAGCATCCAGCCAACACTTCTCAATACTTCTGAAGCAACCAGATACATGGAAACACTTGCAACTACCATTCCCCAGAGCTTACACATATTTGCTTCAAGCTACATACAAGATCTCCTGATTGCCGATCTTGATCCGGCAGCAGCAAAGACAGCCATTAGCATCATGGGTCCTTTTCTATCAGCATTCGGCTTCCTGTTCATCCTCAGAATAGTTATGTCCTGGTATCCGAAGCTCCCCGTAGGAAAATTTCCATACGTTTTCGCTTATGCACCTACAGAGCCAATTCTGAGAGTAACAAGGAAGGTAATACCGCCTCTTGGTGGAGTCGATGTAACTCCTGTGGTATGGTTTGGCTTGATAAGCTTCTTGAATGAGATCTTAGTTGGTCCTCAGGGATTGTTGGTTCTTCTATCTCAACAAGTACAGACTGGTTAACAAGTAAGAGCGAATTCTTGTTTTGGGCTTTTACCCGATATTAGTCCATAAACATTTCAATTATTGAAATTAGTTCTTCAAAACCATTGAAATTTCCATAAGGTCCCCTAATTCTCATAATTTGTTTCAATTTAATTCCTCTAATTGCTACTTCTGCTCTCGACTTGGAGGGACTAATTCCATAATAACTTAAGAATTGGAGGACCTAATAGCAAATTCAATGATTTGAGGGGCTAGTTTCAAAGTATGAAAGATTTAAGGTGCTAATATAGAAAACCCTTTCTTATTTCCAATACCAATCACATTGTAAGATTGTAAGAGCATGTACATTGTTCAGAAATGAGACCAATAAGCAAAAATTTTGATAATAGTCATTAGCATGCCAGTCTATGGATTTGAGGTTCTTACAATGCATTAAACAAAACCAACATGATATAAGGAGCAAAATAAAAAAAGGTATACAGCATAACTTCGTCATTCTTGTTCTTCAGTCTTTGATATAGTTGTCTGTCAATTGGATATGTGCATATAACCTCAGTTCTAACACTGATACATAGCCACAGTACATCCTGATATGGAGCAACCTTCCTTCTTAAATATCAGCAGTGAGGAAATTTTGCGGTAGTGACACCTACAATCACATATTCAAGTATAAGATATAAACACTCGAATGTTCACATTACCTTGCACATAATGAAAGAGAGTTTCAGAAATGTGTGTGATGCACGTTCTGTGATTACCTTTTGACCCAGCTCGAATGGAGGAAGACCCTTGTAAGGGCATCCACTGCAACGAAAGGCATCACCAAGACCACACTGTGATGTTCAAAGAAAAGTCAGTCAGCTAAACCTCTTGAGTTCTTTTAGTCGGCAGTTCATATAGCAAATGAATAAAACTTACACTTCCACATGCAGATTTAGGGTTATTTATCTGATCAGCAGTAAGCCCCAGCTTCACTGCTTTCTCCTCTGCCTCCACTCGGCCACAAGTGCAGTTCTTGCAAGCTTTCCTTGTACTTCCAACTTCACAGTCCCCAACTGCACAAGGTTTAGGGCAATAAGATAATTGCTAACACGAAGCAGATAAAAGGATCACACAAAATATAGGGTTGCTGTACATAGACGCCCTGTAGCATTGTTGTTTACAAACTAACTACCCCTTTGAACTCGGATCCTCTCGAATTAAGTGGTAATTGGCGAGGGTTTCATTACCCCAGTCATTACCGTCTATTCATTTCGGCAGATAAACCCCCTTGTAACCCTGTTTTTTTAACTCTTTTACTTCAAAATGTTGACACACATTGCCTCCAAGTGAAATTAGTGAAACTAAATGAGGGTACAAGCGTAGAAAACATTTCACCTAGTGGTCTATATGCAAAAATGAAACTACAGGGTATTATGTTCAAAACAGTGGTACTACAGAGGGCCTATGTTCAATTAACCCTATTTTACAACACTAGTTACTATATCTTACCAACTGGAAGCTGTGGTTTTTTCAAGTCTTCTTCAGTAAGGAGACCGTCTTCATCAATAAGATCTGACTCGTCATCAAGCTGAATCTTGGGAACAGTTCTTGTAACTTTCTTGATGGAGAATGACGACCCCACTTTCCAAGAAGCCTTCTTACCCTTGATCTGGTTAAGACATAATTTTGCCGCAATCAAAAACTAAACAGACATAATCTGCAAAAAATAATAATTAAGAGGGTAAATTAATCAGGCTTTTCAAAATCTCCACTCACCGTAAGGGGCTGTTCACCTTCAAGCAGCAAGAGAGCTTTAGTATCTATCGCTTCTACGTCTAAAAACCCTGCAAAGAGTAGTTTCCGCTCTAAAGTAGACTTTTCCTGTAAGAAAACAATATTAAGTATCTTCTAAGAGATGAGAAAAGAAATAAGCATCCTATAATATGTTAGATATTGCTATTGTTACGAGAAATGTGGGAGAATTGATGCGCAACGGCGATCAAAAGGTGGACCTTAAGTAATAACATATCGCTAATGGGGTTATGTAGGCCTAAACAACATTGGGTAAAATGACACTGGTTAGTTTAGCTAGGTGGATGGTTCTTAAAAGAGCTTTAGGTCACAAAAAGGATTCATAAAAGGACCAAAAAGATTTGGGGTATTAACTCTGTTTTTGTTATTGTTACCATTAAAATAGAACTCATAATTTTTTGGTGATGGGTTCATCTTTGGGAAATCGGTATATTACCTTATCTCCATCCTCGTTAGAAGCCAAAGATGTCTGGACTAAGATCTTTCCATCAGGTTTCAAGACTCTACCAATCTCTTCAAGCAACTGCTCAGTGACAAGATCAAGAGCTTTCCAAACAGAAACAACGACTTCCACAGAGGCAGATTCAACTGGCAGTTTCCCTCCTATAAGAATTCCCCTCAAATCAATCAATTACTTTTTTTTTAAAGTTCAGACTTCCCAAACCCTTAACACATTAAGTAGTCTTGTGAATTGTCACGCAAAATTAAAATTACTTCAATAGGTTCAATTTCTAAACAAAGCTAATAATTTGCATTTAATTAACTAAATGAAGTCGAATCAGAAAAAACAAAAAATCCCGTATTGAAAAGCTTTTTCCCCCCTTCAACAAAAACTTGCAGAAAATTTCAGGTGGCATGCATACAGAAAATTCAAAATGGAAAAAAAAAAGATATGCAAAATATGCAAATTTGTGGCCTCTCACGTTCATAGCCTTGCACAAATCAAGCAAATTACGAATTACCCAAAGAAGCTCAATTTCTAATTAATAGGTAAACAATCTTCAAATTGCATACACAATTTCCCATAAATTTACAGCTAGCAAAAGCTTCTCATCATGACTAAACCAGTAAATAAACCACTAGCAAAAAGTGTTTTTTTTTCACATTGAACAAACTTTTCCCAACAAAATAGATGAAAGCGAAGAAATATACTCAATGAATCGCCTTGGGTGATGACAAGAACATCATCCTCATCAACAATTGGGCTTCCAGAGTCCTTAATCGCAGAAAGAACCGCTCCAATCGGAACAGCGACGATATTCGTCAGCAGAAGAGCGCGAGATTTAGCGGCCATGGCGACCTGCAAAGACGAATCAGATCACCGATCAAAACCCTAGAATTCCCAACACAAGACGAAATCATCATCGAATTCGGGAGAGAAGAATGAAGAAGGTCCACCTTTGATAGCTTAGCGGAGCTCTGTGAACCGAAATGGGCCGAGAAGGAAAACCCTAGAACGCGGAACAATGAAAATTCTTGAAAAAGAGGAGGCAGAATTGGACAACGGAACGGGATTTTAAAAACCAGGGGCTGACGAAACCTGCGATAAAAAATATTTATAGAAATAGAGAGAGGCGGCAGTTGGTTATGTTGAAGTCTTTATGGACAAATTTTTAAAACAGTCCATCTACAAAAATATTTCTAAAAAACAATCCTTTTCAACAATATTCGTCAAAACCGACGTAGTTTCAGATGAAACTAAGTCGGTTTTGACGAAAAAATTATAAAACTTCACGGGATTTCAAGTCCCGTGAAGTTTAGCAGCCATTTAACTAAGCTGCTAAACTTCACGGGACTTCAAGTCCCGTGAAGTTTCATAGTTCAAGACAACTTCAGAACTAGAACTTCACGAGACTTCGAGTCCTGTGAAGTTTGGGAACTTCTTTAGTCAAAACCAACTCAGTTTCAGCCCGATGGTTGAACTATGTCGGTTTTGACAAATGTTGTTGAAACATATCATTTTTAGGAATATTTTTGTAATTGGGACTGTTTTGAAATTTTGTCTAATCTTTAAATGCTTGTTTCACCTCTTAGGCTCTCACTTGCCTCCCAAAACTGCAGAATTTGTCTCTTAATATTCTCTGAACTATTTTCTTTTTTTTTTCCTTGTTTTGCCCTATAAGCTATTAAATTAGATTCATGTTTATCCTCTTAACTATTTTTAGTCTCGTATTACCTCCTAAACTATTGAAGTTCGTACTTATCTCCTAAACTAACAAAATCGTACCTAGGGTTGGGGGTAAATAGGGACTATGACCTTTCTAGACAACGCCCAATAGACCTGTTTCATGACATTAAATGTGTATAAAAATGTCAATGTTAGATGTATGCATGAATTTCAAAATCTAATAATTAAACGAGTAACATTTATTTGATGCAAGTTTAGTACATAGATTGACAATTATTTAATACGTTCTCATTAGGACTATTTGTTTATTAATTGTATACATGACATGGGATGTGGAGGAATGTTATTGCGAAATTGTCAACCAAATGTGTTAGTTGGAACTTTTTTAGATTTTTCTTGGTTAGGAAGAAAAAATAGGAAAAAAAATTTGAAGGAGGATGTGATAAAAGGATACAGAAGCAGAAGAGATGTTCCGTTTTTTTTTTTTTTGTGGTGGTGGTGGTGGTGGGGGGAATAAATGTTTCATTATCATCTTAAATCAATACAAACAATATGCAAATTAGTACTTTCTCAGAAAAAATATGCAAATTAGTACAAATAATCAATAGATTAATATAAAAAATATTAAATCAATATGAACTTTACAAATTTGTGTAATAACTAAATTTATAAATATTAAGACGCATTTCATTTCTTAATACATGATTTTTCTACGAATTTAGCACTTTCTCTATGAGGGCTTTTTTCCTTTTTTCCTCCTTTTTTTCTATCTTTTGCGGTGTAAACCAATTTATGTTCTCATTAAGCTTAATTTTACCTAAATACATTATACTTTTCCCTTCTTCGCGCTTATACACCCGGAAATTTTTAAAATTCTCATATAAATATCAACTATAATTCAAAAGCAAACGTTCCCTAGAAAATTCTCATGCGACACTCGCATGTTAATTTTAGAACTTCTAATTCATAAGTTTTTTATTTTTGGAAAAGTGTAAAAATTGGGAGTACTCGTTTTTTAATATATAAGTTCATGACATGAAATATGTGATACGCCTCTCTTTATAAAATAGGTAATCAGAGGGATTAATTTGAAGCAATTTATGAGAATTGGTAGCAAATTGCAATTCCAATGATTTGAGGGCTACTTTCAAAATATAAAAGGTCAGGGATTAACGTTGAAAAAAGGCATCATTTCTCAATTATTTTAATCTGCCACATATCTCGTCTGTATCCATTTCCATAACGTGAGTGAGGGCCCCATGGAAATTTGCAAGAGCAACTCGGCGAGAACTCGCGGAGAGGGAGTTATCGGCTTTGTCCTAGACTCCTAGGCAACATTATTTTCTTTTGTTTTCCTTATGTTTCGGTGAAGAAAACAAAAAATGAATATTTCCAAAACTATTTTTGCTTACCAAACAATAAAAACTCATTTTCTCAATTATTTTCTTTTTTTTTCCTCCACTTTCATTCAAACTGCCTGTTTGTTTGCATGGAAATAATTATGAAGTAGCTGAAGTAAAAGAAATAAAAGCTATTTCTACTACTTCCAAGCAAAAAAATGTATTTGGTTCTCTGAAAAACCTACTTCCAATACTTCCTTAAATGCTTATGTGGCGCCTACGTGTCATCCTTACTTCCAAAATATTTTTCCAATCCTCAATATCCAGAAATAGTTCGGAAGTAGTTGAAATGCATATTAATTAGGAAATAAATAAATTTTTTATTAATACTTCCTTTATTAGTTACTTCTAACAACTTTTCAATGATAAAATTACTTCCTAGTAATATTTTCAAATGTTATCCAAACAAAAAAAATAAATGAAGAGAAAGAAGTTCTACTTCTATTACTTCTAAAAATATATGAAACAAATAAAAAAAATGTTATTTCCACTACTCCCTACTTCATAGCTTTGAAAGTTACTCCTATAACATACTTCTTACTTCTAATACTTTCATTATCCAAACGGGCCTAAGGGCCCGTTTGGATAATAGAAGTATTGGAAGTAAAAAATAGGTTATAGAAGTAACTTTTAAAACTATAAAGTTAAAAGCAGTGGAAATAGATTTTTTTTTTTTTCATATATTTTTAGAAGTAATGGAAGTAGAACTTATTCCTCTTCATTTACTTTTTTTGTTTGGATAACATTTGGAAATATTACTATGAAGTAATTTTATCAATGAAAAGTTATTAGAAGTAACTAATAAAGGAAGTATTAATAAAAAATTTATTTATTTCCTAATTAATATGCATTTCAACTACTTCCGAACTACTTCTAAGTATTAAGGATTGGAAAAATATTTTGGAAGTAAGGATGACACGTAGACGCCACATAAGCGTTTAAGAAAGTATTTGAAGTAAGTTTTTCAAAGAACCAAACACAATTTTTTGCTTGGAAATAGCAGAAATAGCATCTACTTCTTTTACTTCAGCTATTTCATAATTACTTCGGTGCAAACAAACAAGCCCTAAACAGAAATGTAATTTTGAACTTCGCATTTAAGTTTTCTGCGTCACAAGTGCAATTTTTATTGAATGGGTTATTCCAAACCCGGACATAGAGTAAAAATCTTATTAGAGCATTCCTATTCCCATAAAAGAGGAAGGTACGGAGTCAGTTTGAGCCCTACGAATTTAGCAGGTCAATTGAATGTTTTGACACAACTGACAACCACAACAATGAAATCATTGAAATTAGCTTGTCTCACAAGTCAAAGAAAGGACCAACATAATCTGCTACACTATTCACTGAGATTGTCATACAATAATATGAATACTGGACCACGCAATTAACTTAAGATATCGGTAGAGCTACAAAGTAAACTGAAACCTATAAACAGACTTCACAAAATGATGCTTTTAAACCATTAATCAACAAATTTCAACACGGGAGGCATTCTTCTGAAAGGAATAATTAAAGAACACGAATACTGCCATTGTTGCTTCTTTGGTCATCTGATCATACTTTGATGGAAAGATGACAACTCACTACTAAGTAGACTAACACATTAAGTTGACTTGAAGTGGTGGTCATCAATTGTAGAATAAATATGCCCGACATCTACATGATAGTCAATAGCTTCCCTGCATTTTGGAAATTGTCATTTTTGGTTAGGGGCATAGTATAGATACAAATTCAAAGTTTAGATCAAAGGCAGAGATAGCGAATGAAATATACTTGATCTTCTTCTCTGGTAAGTTTAGTCGTTTCACGACTTCATCCACATGAACTCCATGATCGCTCTCACTTCATATAAGTAGTTCATTTCATGTTAGATCAAGCATTTGATTAACCACCAACATTTTATATGCTAAATGAATCTCAAACAAATAAGAAACGTTAATAATTATACGAGTGAATATCGCTTTACTTGAGAACCTTTCACCAAAGCTGCACTAGAATGATTTCAGTCTGAGACTAGACGAATAATTAATCCACCGAAAGCTCATACAAACTTCATCATTTAACGATTGCAGATATAGTTCAGCACTACCTTGAAACTGAAGTTAGGACACTTTATATTACAAGTAAAACTTCTTAAAGTGTGCTGAAACATGTCACAGACAACATCAATGCATGATGCGTTGCAGAAAGAGATCATATATTTTCAATTTTTGTATGGAGGTAAAAAGTAAAATACCAAGATGAAAACTATAGAGGGCAATTATCTCTGTTTTTCCCCTCATTAAATAATAAGAAGAAAACTCTAAGATAACTTTCTTACCTGCACTTTTCATTAGAAACAAAAAGGATAGAGCAGGAGGCTTAACCAGTCTAAACTAAGTTTCTATACTCATGCTTCTTTTGTAATAGCACCTATGTTGCACGATAAGGTGCGGGTATAGGACGCGGCAAAATTGTAAAAAGGTAGGATACGAAGACACTTGTCATATACATACAAATTAAAATTAATAATTGTTTGGGTCAAAAGTTGATATTTTCATTAGTGACGAACTCATTACAATTTCAGCCATTACAATAAGAAAGTTGATATTTTCATTAGTGACGAACTCATTACAATTTCAGCCATTACAATAAGTTCAAAAAAAGAAAGAAAGTCGATCTTTTTATTTTCAGCCATACAATAAGTTCAAAAAAAGAAAGAAAGTCGATCTTTTTATAAGATCTCCTTTACACAATGAAAATAAATATTACAACTCTTGTCAAATAGCGCAACGGACGTTTATTACCCGCTGCTTGCGTGGGAACTTTGCCTGTGCCGGGGACGTTAATATCAGTGGACCACCGCGGATCAGATCCGGTTAGTAGAAGTTGGATAATCAATGCTCTCACTTCACGAATGAAGTAATTGCAGTAGCGGCGATTTTGACTAAGCAAAATCACGACTCTTCTCGGGATTTAAGACCAAGCTTAAATCCGGAGGAATAGGGGACGGGTCTCAGATCTCTCGAACTCCACTCTTTATGCACAGGAGATCGCCAAGATCTGCTAACCCTCTCTGAAATTCGTGGCTATGCACTTGAGAAACCGGCAGCACCTCGCCCTCTTGATCTCCTCTCCCCCCAAAAAATAAACACCTGAGCCCCTATTTATAGGCTCGGTTGGCGGTTTTCTTGGATCAAAACGAGGGATTCCCTCTATCTTCAGTTAGCAACTGTCTAACAACAATATCAGAGCAGTTTGTTTTTCGGGTTTTGACTTGTTCCGTCGTTACGCGTATTTTGTCGTTTCGTTGACTTGTACGCTTTCCCGATTCGTTTCGCGAAAGCATGGATAGTTTGTCGGTGGCCGATGAGCGTACGGGCCACTTGGTTCGCCGATTTGGTGGCTGGTGAGTACACGGGCCACTTGGAGGTGGCCGGTGAGTGTATAGGCTATTCGGTTCGCCGTTTCGCTTCATGTGTTCATCGGCGTCGGATAATCCTCTTAGACTTAGATAGTGGCGTTCATCACCTTCTCTCTGTCTCGAGCTGTGCGTGGATACCTATAGACATTTTTAGACGCCTACAATAATCTATATAAGATTGATATAGTTTTTTTATTCACATATTATGAGATATAAAATCGTTATAACATTTTTATGTTTCTTTTATTGAGTAGATTGTAAACTGAAAAACTGTTTGTTTTTGAACGAGATACCAAAACGACCCTTTAAAATCATACATATGAACTAGGTATGTGCTAAAATGACTTTATCACACGTTCAACGAGTTGCATAAATTAAGGTGAAGTGTATGATATATGTTCAAAAAGTGCACCATGAGTTTTATAAATTAAAACATGTGTAATTGAATAGACGACTGAATAAATGCATGTAGATAATATATTAATAAAATGTCCAAGGAGTGTCTGACACGGATACGGTGATGTCTTGGACACAGATACGGAAATCTAGATGAAGTGTCCATGTAACCTAGAATAGCAATCTTAAGGAAAATTTAAGAGAATTCATGTTTTAATCACATGCAAAAATTGCAACTTGAACTGAAAATTAATGGCACCAAAACTTTAGCAATTTACTTACAGGTTTGCTGGCTCCTGGAAAACATCCAGGACCAGTTTGTAGATGTCAGTCTCAGATCCACCACTGCTTGTATGCGCAGAGACCTAGATAAAAAAGAAAAGAGTACAAAAATACGTGATAATTGAGGTCATTTATTTTTCACGATGGAGCAATAGAGAGAAAATCCAAATTTTAAAATTGACGAACTTGACTAGGCACTGGAGTTTGCTCTTTTTTTACTGCACCCAAAATAGGTGATGAATTGGCTGCAGTTGTCTGCTGCTGAGTAGAGGCTCCAACCTGCATCCCAATTTAAAACAGTCTTAAGGGTTATTGTACTCCATTCTTCTAGTTCTTTTTTTTTAATTGCATAACCAGGGACAGTAGTCATTTAGGGCCATATTATTTAGGGTGAGAGTACCTTTGCTCCAGTATTCACTAGATGTACGTGAATGCACTGAACGAAGTGGTGGTGGATGGCATTATAATCGACCACAGGCCTGAAAAAGATGTCGCAGTTTAATACAAAACCAGTAAACATGTATAGTTTATAGCAAAACACTCTATGCAAAAGATCAAACATTTAAGAGTAATTGTATAAAGGAAATATTGTCTGCTGTTTTGAAATTTGGAAAAGGTTATAAGCAGCTCAGAACAGAAGTTGAAAAGACGAAAGAATTTGGAAACTTTTTGCAGGAATAAATATCTAAAAATGGGGGAAAATATTTATTGCAGTGCATCTCTTTTGAATCCAACTCCTTGTTATGATTGGGTTCAGTACTTGTAAATATAACTGAACTTAATCAAGTTCATTTTCTCACTGGTTCTGCAGTTGCTCCTGTCATCTCCACATTCCATGCAAAATATGTACCGACCTATTGGACTATGAATTAGAAAGGAGTTGGCTGATTCTGGCTGTTAACCATAAATAAGTCACACTGTTTCACCAGAATATGGTATTATTCAACTTCCATTACTGAAGACTTCAAGTATGAACAACTAGGTTAATTTCATGTTCTACTTTCGATCTCTTCTAATGTAAACCAATTAAGTTGTTGTAGCATGCATCAATTTCAAAATATAAAAGTACAAGAGTGATATGTAAGAAAAACATTTGACCATTATGTTTTCCTAAAGGGAGGGGGACCCCTTGCCTGACACATTCAGATAACTACTATTTTATTTGAATTCTCATACATACTATCGTCTTAAAACTCCTAGCTCCATCTTGATGGTATCAATAGAAGGCGTATATGTTTCTTTACTCCACTGCAGTCAACCTCAATGTCGACTGATCAATACTTTGTCTATTCATTATACTGCTATTGCTACTTTATGTGAATGTGTCCCCTTGGATGCATGATGGCTTCAGTTTAAGAAGTCAATGGTGTATGCTGGCTCAGTCCATTGTCTTGAATAGTGCTCCCTTAATTACAAGTGCTTACACAGACTAGTATAAGGATCTGCACTAACGCAACTCCATTGCGCCTTGAGCACTATAATCATTACTTTAGTGTCTCAGTAGGCATGACTGGGGGGAATTTTCCAACCAGGAAATCATGACCTTGACTCTGCTCTTTTCTCACTTGTGATCAAATTAGAATACATGCCAATCCATCATTTTCATTGAAATGAATTTTAAGCGTGATGTCCAATGAACACAACTTTTAACAGTAGCAATTCTGTACATTAGTCATTCTTACGATAAATGATGAGTCTTTTCCCTAGGGCCTAAGCACATGCATAATGGTAAAGCCTGCATGTATCCTAGAGAGGCTACTCCAACCAAACACCTTTAGTATATTTCCAATAAAAATTTTATGCAGTTGAACATGCACATTAGCACAAATGCATGTCTGGAATTCCCAAATGCCCAAGAACTAAGTACCTGCTGACTGTATAGTTTCTTAATTGGCTGCTTTATATAAGGTTGTAACAAAAAAAAGAAAAGGTTGCACTGCGTATAAGGTGACACTTGCAATGGTTGGACGTTAAGTGTCACTACTCAGAATAAAGTTCCTTTGTATAGGAATCAAAACTTTCTGCCAAGTGGCCACGAATTGTGGACTAAGGAAGAAGAGAAACCAAATGTTGACAACCAAGATTTGCTAAATGATCATGCATGCGCAACAATCTTATTTGGACGTTAAAAATAGCAACTTTGTGGCCTTACACACCGGACACTGAATACACTTTAGGAAACTCCATCAACATTGAGTCATCAAATGATGACAGTGCTAATTTATAGCTTTGAGCTTACACGCATCTCCAGTAAAGATCTCAGCAAACAATGCACTCATTGGCCATATGGACCTTTGAGTACATAAAAATACTTGCATATTTATGTATAAAATATGGCATTGTCTCACCAACAAAGAGTATTGGAAGGTTCTCATGTTAGGCACTTTGGTGTCGCCTTATTTCAAAGACTCGTTATGTTCTTCTTTTTTCAAAGGGGATAATCTTGTCAGGTTTCCTTAATGAATGCACAGGAGTTTTAATAGAAAGAATTATCAGATTTGGCAAAAATAAAAGACACAGGTAGCTACAATGGAGAGAGAAGTTTTGAGATTTCTGACAAATTTAGTTATCTGGATGTTAGTCCAAGTATCTGAATTCCTCTTTACAAAGACCAAAACAGTGAACTTTTTATTAGGAACAATGATAAAGTGTTCTTAGAGTATTAAGAACAAAACCGTCGAGCAAGTTTTCAAGATAAAAACAACACAGCATTCTTACACCATAGGGTTTGGTCAGGAGAATAAGATACAACGCATACTGCAATAAATCACAGGCGCGCATGCTAGTAACGTTCTATCCTTAATTATAATAATGAAGTTGATTCCTCAATGTTGGCATCATTGCATGATATAAACCAATCATTAATAGATTTGTTTTTTAGACTAAGAATGTTCCAGCTAGCAATATATACAATTTGTGACAACATATAGAAAGGCCATAACCAATTGAATACAGCTAATTCAATAAACAACACATTTTTAAAGCAAAGCTGTAATCTTTGTTAAAATCAAAACAAGACATGCTTTGAGCAACCAATAAATCAGTTTACATAAAACATCAAACTTAACATGTGCTTAAAATTCCATCAAAAAGAAAACATGTGCTGAAAAAGAACTGAAACATGAGCAACATGCTATTGCTTACCGGACAGAGAAGGCACCAAATTGCCTTTTGCCCTGAAATTCTTTCAAAGAACCAATGACCGTAACATATATACCATTCCTAAGTAATCAAGAAATAATGTCAAATTCCATGAAACCAATCAAAGTAGCAAAATTCATATCACTTACTGAACAGCAGCCATTTCACTAGAATCTGAAGCATCATTCACCCTACCAAAAAAAAGCCAAGCATCAAAACCTTAAACCAAAATCCAGAAACAAAAGGTATACTTGCACTTTAATACAATAAAGTATTACGAATTTTCAATTTTACAACCTTGACGTTTAAACTAAGAAAATCTTTATAGTTTCACCTTTTTCAACTTTAACAGCTACGGACATCATCGTTCAGAATTCTGTTAAAAAATGCATCACGTGACTATCACATAATATTATTTGAACTTTTTATAGCACTAGACTGAAAAGATAATCCCTCCAAATCCCCTTCAAGTTCTCCCTCTGCTATAACTCTAAACCAGTTGAAAGTAAAAATACTCATTTCTTCACTTTCCCAAATACAAACGACTTAAATTTGGCATTGAAATGTAGCAAAATAATCCCTGCCAAACAATATTCAGTCAAAACAGAATTCTGAGAGGTAATGTAATGGTAGTTAATAGGGTAAAAATCTTTTGACGCTTTCTGGTACTCTTTTGGGCAAGTTTAAGCTTCAGGGTATCAAAATTAAAAACTGATGGAAACTTTAGGGCGTTAAAGTGCAATTAACCCTAAAATAAATCAACAAAAGGGTTTAAAACAAAAGTATCACCATCTGATGATATCGATGCGCCCAGTGCCATCATCAAGAGAGAAGGTCACATTTGTATTCTTCTCCTCCTTGCTCATCACCATCCCTAGTAACTTCACCTGCACATAGTAAAATCTAGATTAGGGTTATAATTTCATCAAAAAAAATCAAAAGTCTAATATTAGAAAGAGAAAAAGCAGACATTGGTGGCGTCAACGCCATCGATCACGAGATTGGACTTATCATCAGTGGAATTGTAAGCTTCGCTGATCTGCTTCACTGTCAGCGGGAGCACTGGCTGAACTGGGCGATTCTGACAAAGAATCAATCGAGATTAGAAATTTAACGTGAACGGAAAGAGAAATACGAAGCCCTAGAAATTGGGGTTTTTTACTTACGCCCTAGAAATTGGGGTTTTTTACTTACTTTGTTGGAGCCAGAATCTAGGGTTTGTGTAGATTGAGACTGCGTTAATCCGCTATCATGCTGGCTCGAGAACATCATTTTTCGTCGTAGACGAAAATTTTGATGGAAACCTTAAATTTGAGACCGTAGCCGAGAATAGGAAAAAGCGATAGAAATGGGAGAGAATTGGGGCGCGGGAAATATATTTATTAATGGGGGGAAGACGGAAGGATTTTCCCGCCAAAACTCGGTGCCTTTTTAGCCCAAGGGCGGTCCCGTTAACTCCTCAATTAAAGTTTGGAGAGTGTCCAAAACTTAGAGTGGGGTCAAAACTTATGATGACCAACTCATTACGTAATAGGAGGAGGACCTCTCACGTGTTTTCTTATTGGTCCCTTCTTTTAGGTCCTTTGATAATTTTTCATTCCCTTGGTATTTTTATTTATTTTTGAGGAGATTGTGCACATTTTTTAAAATAAATAATAAAAACATTTTCAAAACGGGTTTTTACATATCAGTCCCTTAATCATCTCTGTTTTGATGTTAGTCCCTCAATTATTCATATCGATATTGGCCCCTCTCTTAACTTTTCTATTAAAAACCACCTAATCCTAGTTAGCTTAGATTTAACCACATACGGTTAATTACCTAATTCGTGAACGAAGAAGAATATGAGATTGAGCTTCTTGACAGGTTTGCGTTCGTTGAGTTGAGTGTGGGTTTGTTTTTTGTTATGCGGCATAAATTGTACATTACTATTCAATATTAAAATTAACAGAATATTCTCTTGCGTTTTTAACATCAAAAAGCTAGCCAGAGGGACCAATATCAACAACTTAATGCAATTTGAGGGACTGCTATTAAAATATGAAGATTTGAGGGACTAACATCAACATAGGTATGATTTAAGGAGTAATATCTAAAAACCCCTTTCAAAATTAATGTTCATTACCAAGGATCCCCCCAAGTGAAAATTGGTAAAGACGGTTTCACGGAAGCATTAGGATTTTTTTTTTTCAATCTTTTTCCCGACCTTTATATTTTCCATATATCATATCTTGATAAATATTGTGATGTCTTTTCTTGATAACGTTGCTGTTAGTTAATGTTGTGGGAACTGGCAGATATCTTGCAATTTTAGCTTTAAAACATATTGATGGACGAAAATACGCGGAAATTTACCAACATGCGTGCTCATAAATAATTCAGATAAATGTGATTTATCTTCATCACAAGTTTAGTTGTTTTTTGGGATAATAAGATTTTTGTGTGTTTGCTTCTGCAAAAACATGTGATCATTAGAGTGATGCAAGAATCAAAAAAGATTTTGCAGTTTTTTAGTGTATATAAAAATATATATCTTTTCATGTTCATATATAAGAAAATTCTAATTTTATGCTTATATAAGAGGGTAAATTGTGGATGGACACCCTGTACAATCGGCCAGTTACAGATGGAAATCCTTTTTTTTTTTTGACAAATAAAGCTGTTGAAGGTAAAAGAATAAAAACAAGGAGAGAGAAGAAAAACATTCATGGGATCTATCTGGCCAATCTATACGAAATCAAGATAATACAGGTGTCTAATTGCAATTAACCCTATATAAAACTACTTTGTAACGAAAGAGGGAAAAAAGAGGAGGAATAAAAAAAAAACATCCAAGCACATAAATAGCACAGGAACAAGTCACGCAGATTGTGATACAAAGAGGCCCACAACCTCAAACTGGGCATAAAATACCTGCTCCATCAAACTGTAGATCCTTACCGTGATCCAAATTTAACTAACAGTTTGATCCTAAAACATAAAACAAGCAGCCGCAAATCTAAAACACACCTACTCGTCATTCCACCTCAACTCTCCTCGGCATAAGCAGGCTCAGCAATAGCCTGCTCAGCCTCCTGCACTTCCTTCTCAGTCTTCCTCCCTTTCTTAGACTTGTAGTAAACGCTCATAAAAGTCCCAACAGCTCCATACTTCTTCCTGCACTGCTCATAGAGACCACCATCAAACATCCTCCAGAAATTCTTCTCGTTGAGCTCAGAGACGGCGTACTGTGGTTGGAAACTGTGGTTCTTGATCAGCCAGTCTTCAAGGCGACGGACAGCCTCGACTCCGTCAAATTCCTCACCTCGGAGAACGGGGCCGGGGGCGTAGTAGACGCCGATGTCAGTGTACATTTGGGCGTAGCTCGTGTCGCCTTGCCTTTGGTGGTGCTCGAAACCAGGTTCCGGGTAGATCATTGTTCGGATGGGGAGCTTGAAGATACGGTGCGGGCAGAGCCAGATAGGATACACCTGAAGCAGAAGAGGAAGTATCAGTATCAATACACGCAAATAAAAGCAGAAGAGGAAGTATCAGTATCAATACAAACAAATAAAACCTTCCTTTCAATATAGAGAACTACAAGTACAATAAATCGAGTGATAAAGATAAGAATGTCACAGCTGACTTGTAGATCTAGACTAAGAGATGAGATATGAGATGGGACAAAACTGAAAGTTAGATGTTACTCCCATTGAGCATAAAACGAGAAAGAATCAACTCAGAAGGTCTGGTTAATGTACAACCGAGACCACTAAATGCACCAGGGTCAGGAGAAGTGATAGGATTACAGTTAATGGGCAAGGAGGGCTAGATGTATGCCTAAGAGAACTTGCTAGGAAGCAATTAATGAGGATGTGATAATAGTTAATGGAGGAGATAGCCGTAACAGAAAGGAACGGAAGAATCTGATTCATGTAGACCCGAAATAAAGTATAACGAACTAAATAGGTTTTTAACTACTTGAAATTTCTCTAATAAGATGTTTTAGGACTGAGTTAGACACAGTCACTGATCACCTTGCAGGGTGCACTTCGCAATAAATTCAAACCCATTTATGTAACCACATAATGGTAAGCGTAATTAAACATAAGTTTGGAGAGGACCAACTATTTTAGGCAGAAAGAAGGAAAAAAAGTTTGCAAGTAGTAGCACCTGTAAAACCTACAAAATTTGCCAAATGCCTAAAAATAAACAATAGAAAACGCAATTGCTTTTCTGTCAGGGGTACTCTAGGCATAGTTTGAAAATATACACGCAAGTTGTCCTCATCTTAACAGGACGAGCTTTGGCGTTATTACCGCAACTTAAGAGTGGCATGTGACCTTCAGTCTGACCCTAAAACACTCTCTCTCAAGAATGCCTAACCTCGATAACATCTAAACTACTTAACTTTTCAAGCCAAAGAAGGCCTGAAAATCACTCTCTCATATGATGTTGGCAAGAATATAAGCCAAACATTCATATTTTATTTTTCTCACAAGGACAATGACAAAAAGGTTGCAAGAAAAGAAAACTCCAATGAATGGAAACACTGAAGTAGAGAACAATCCAGCTATCACTCAAATATGGGAAAGAGAACTACCTCCATTTCACGGTGAACAAACTCGAGCGCCTCACCAACTTTATATAGAGGAACCAAGAGATCCTGGATCACATGCCTATCATGATAATAATTCCTGATAGCTTCACCCTGGGTAGCTTTAAGCAATGAAACCTTTGGTGGCATCAGCCATCCAAAGCACCACCTAAACCACCACTGGTCTCCAAATGGCAATATCAGCTTCCCCTCCCAATATAAGCACCTGGTGTGCCTGTGATAGTAGTCTCTCGTGGGAATGTATTCAACAAACTCACCCTTAGTTAGAGCTTTATGTGCATGCTGATAAAACCAAGGTTTAAACCACCACCCAACACTATTGATAACATTCCCCTTTTGCTTTGCTTCTTCTTTAGATGCATACCTACCCGTCATCATAACACCTTCATTTGGGTTATATATCATTCCTTCAACAAAATCTGGCACTTTCGCCGAATCCCCATCTCTGGGTGCAAAAGAATCGGCGTAAGCTTGTGCAAGATCCCTGAGATTCCCTCTTGCTGGTGTATAAGTTAGCTTCATGTACTCCTTAACAGGTATGAGCTTTATCTCCGCAGAAACTAGGAATCCAATTGTTCCTTGAGACCATGGAACGGCATAAAAGAGGTCTGAGTACTCATTATCCTTAGTCGCTCTAACAACACGTCCATCTGCTAGTACAAGTTCAAGCGCAACAACTGTGTCTGAGAAAAGGCCATATATATGTGAGCTTCCTTCAATGCCGTAGCCGTTAATGAGACCACCAACTGTGAGATCATCCAGCTCTGCAACCACAGCAAGTGCAAGGTTCATAGGAACTGTAGCCCTAGTAATTTGACCCATATTAACAAGAGGCTCAACCTTCGCGACCATTCTCTCTTTGTCAATCTCAAGGATGTGTCTAAATGCCGAGAGATCGACCTCAAAATGCCTAGCACGTTTATAATCAACATTGCGCATACCAACAGCAATGTATGGTTTCCTGGCTGTGCACACAAGGCCATCTTTCTTTGGATTTCTTTGTTTGAGACGATTCACGACTTTTTTCACATTCTCGTCGTGTTCCTTTTGTCGTCGCTTTTCTGACTTCATTGCAGATTTCACATCACCCAAGTATATGAGGAAGTAGATTGTGAAAGAGACGGGTAGGACAACAAAGATAACGAGTATCCATCGGAAATTGACAAGGTAGTCCACTAGGTCTTTCTTCCTTTTGGGACGAAGAGGCGTTTGCAGATCTGACATGGTTGTAACTTGAATTCTGAAACAAAGAGGAAAGAAACATTATCGTAAGAGAACAGCTATAATATAAACAATAACTGATTTCATTTTCGGGGAACAGATAAAAGTTCTCTATGATAGAGGAAGCTAAATATGATGCGTGAGTACAAACATTTTAGCTGCTGGGCTAATATACAATGTATCAGACATTTTCTCCGAGAGGAATTAAAAAAAAGGGCAATGACTTCAGATACAGATCATAACTGAAAAGATTTAATGCAAATGGCTGAACAAGTATAATAATTAGAACAATCCACAAAAAGGTTATGTATAGTAATAAGCTGAGAGAATATAAGCTAGATGGGTTAACATGAAATATACTAATCACATTAAAGAAAGTTATTGCACTTGTTCATCTATATGCGAACTCATACATTGCTCTAATACTTATAGGTAGATTTTATATGTAACTATAAGCTAACAAGAAATAGGTTCTGCACATCTTAGATTTATTCTGGCGAGATATGTCTCAGGGGAAAATGCAAGATAACACAATGTACCAAAACTAGTTATGCTAGATCAGATGAATAGGATAGACCTCCTTGAGGTACTACATTTGTAGAAGATGGGCACCAACAAGTCTATACAAATTTAAAACATAAGGGTTGAATGCAGACTTGGAGTTGATAACCACAATACAACTTTGTACTATCTACAGGGATGCATGTCTCTATAGCGTGCATGAGCCATTAGCTCCTAAGAGGTAGACTAATATAAATGAACTGCACAGCAACTCAAAAACCAAAAAAAAAACAGTACTTTTAAAGGGAATGCACCAGAAAATACACTAGAAATAGGTGGTGCTTGGCAACTACGTAGATGGACCATCTGCTAAAGCTGCAGTCCACCAGTTTTTTACCAATGGGTGAATGAGGTGGATCAGCAAACACCATGACAAATACAACATGGGAAGGAGAGTCTTTTTTTGGAAATTATATAATTCTTGTTGCACAATCTTTGACTCCCAAACTCAATTAACAAATGGTTAAGCCAGTATCCCCCTTAATAACGTTCGCTATATGAAAGTGTTGACTATAAACTATAACCCTCTACCCTCACCATAACTTTGGAGTTGGTGTAGTGGCGGGGGCCTTTGACGGGTACCAAAGCAACCCAAGTTTAAATCCCACAGGCCACGAATTTAGAGTGGGCTTTACAAAAAAAATAAAAAAATAAAAATAAAAACCGTTGCGTGAGTTTAGGTTAGGCCCATAAAAAGGGAGTTCAACCAGTAGGGGTATGTTATGTTAGAGTATAATTAAATTAAACCCTCAACCCTCCTAATAACTTTGGAGTTTTGGTGTAGTGGCAAGGACGACTAACAAAAAGAAAAGTGATAATAAAAACCTACATGGCTAAAAATTTTCCACATGCTGTTTGAAATGAAAATAATAAAAAGATCAGAGAGTATAAAAGACATAAAACCATTATCTGGTTTTTGCAAGCTATAGGCGCCGTTATATGCTGTAAAGTTACCAGACTCATTCTCAGTTTTCTGAACTGAGGTAAAATCAACTACTTTGAGAGGAAGAAAAAAAAAAGAGGATTAACCAGTATATACCTTAAGAATATAATACTTTTTCCTATTCTCACCCACCAGACAATACTCCGTACAAAGGCAAGGTAATTTATGAATAGGAGCAGTAGAAATATGCGTGCATAATGCTTTTATATCCAGGATTAAGGTCAAATAATGAAACCCGGTAACTTCGTAGAGTGAATACAGAAATGTGCATGCAATCACTCACCCAGCAAGGAAAAAGAGTAACAAACTTAAGTTTAATTCCGATGAAAATCATGAATTTTGAATCAAATACCATGAATTGCTCCAACAAGTGTCCTATCTGAAGATTATTTACTAAGAAAGATCTATAATCGTATATCTTTAACATCAAATTTACTTTGGAGGGTGAAAAAAAAGGCCTGCAGGCACCTTGAGAACCAGTAACATACTCGATTAAAGGATGGGCATCTTCTACATCCTCTACATTATTTGAGTAAGAAAAGCTCACCTAGTAGTATCAAAGAATTTTGCAGATCAGACAAAACTTCTATGCTTGGAGAGAATATTGACCTTAGATGTAGAATCTCTTTGTATGAACTTAAAAGTATAAACACTAAGGATAAAAAAAACTTGAGTTATTTATACACATGTCCACTACCTCAAGCTTAAAAGGTCAATAACAATTTAGTTGCCACTTAGAAGTGTGGATACTCTCCTACGGTTGTGCACTCGATGGATCTTCTTCATGAAGCTAGGTACAGATGAATACTCCACTATCCCCTGAATATCTCTACTCTATACAACAAGGTAAATGTTACCATGCTAGATTGCAATAAGCCCTCTAGAAGAAACAAAAATAAATACAGATCTAGGACCGATATAACATGCACTGCTCTTCGTTTTACTTATATCCATCCATGTTGTCTGCAACTAAAAACGAACTTGAATAGCTTTGCTCTGTACCTTCTATTAAAGCTCCTTTCTTACAAACCCCTGTAAACCAGAATCTACTTGCAAAACTTTACATCTTCCCGTGTAACAATTCCCTATATATATATATACATTCATTGTTTTTGTTTAAAAAAATTAAGGTGCTTAGTTACACAAAATCCCTCCAATTAGTTTGGCCACACTACACCCACTAAAACCCCACAGATGCATAACAATCTTGCTGCAAAGATGGATACTAGTGTCAATTGTGGACCATTGACACAATTACATTGGCATGAGAAGCATGAAACAAGCAGCTAAAATGCAGTTCTGAAACGATCTCAATGCTTCAAATACAAAAATAAATAAATAAATAAATAAATAAAATAATAATAAGTCCGACAAGTACCTAATTCACCATTATGAAGCAAATTTAAAATCTTAAAATTAGGAAAAAGTAATAGTAAACAGCTAAAAACAGATTAAGAAACTACTCAACAAACTTCAAACAGACCAATAATGTCAGAAAAAAATCTCAAAAATGATCATAAAAGAAATCTTAATCTACACAGTCGCAGATCTGTAATAGGCTATTTACATTTAAGCTCAAAAGCCCATCAAAAGCCAAATCAAGTACTTAAAAAGGAAGAACAAACTAATAATTTAACAAAACTTCTCCAAAAATATAAAAGAACACATCTTTAAAAGTAAACGCCCCCAAAACTTTCAGCTCAACGGACTTGGCACTTCAAAAATTATACTCACCCACCACAAAAAGGAGCTCAACTCCAATCGGATCAATCAAAAGAAACTAACTTTTGATTTCAATATAAAGTATGATACAAAATAACGTGAGCTAGGGTTTCGAAAACAAACAAAAGCTCCTCGTTTTCTCAAATTCTTGATCAGACAAAAATAGATGAAAATTGTAGTGAAATCTGACATTGAATGTATAAAATATATAAAATATTCATACTTTGAAGTGTGTGAAGCACTGATTTCTTACCTCCAACGGGAAAATTAAATTGAGAGAGAGATTCACTCCCCACCTCCCTCTCTCTAGTCCACTGTCACTTGACGCTAGAAAGGAGAGATTTATAGGGGCATTAATGCGTCTTTTCAATGGGTAAATTATAGCAACCCCCTCAATTTTGGATTGATTTACATCAATCCATAAAAATTATAGATTTTTTAGTATCAGTCCCTTAAGTATTCAATGTCTAGAAGTGTCTGTCAAGCTACTGATAGTGGCGTTAGGCCCTCCAAAGGTTATATTTTGTTTAAAGAGTAGTCCCTTTGACGACTAAAATTCCTATTAAACCCCCAGATTATTATGCTTGTTTTAAATAGTAATGTACCCTCTCCGATCAAGAGTAGTCATAACACGGTATAAGAATTGGAGTCTCTAATAGTAATTTACTAATTTGAGGGATCCATTTCAAATTGTTAAAGAGTTCAAGATCAAATATCCAAAAAATAAAGAAAAGTTCCCTAATTTTTGGGCTGATAAGTTATTGGTTGCTTTTGTATTTTCTTTCTTTGTCATTTTATGAGATGCTTTTTTTAGTTATTTGTTTATTTAATTATGAATATCAATAAATGATGATTTGATTTTGTGTTTTTATTGTTGTTTGCAAGATAAAGATTCGGAGTTTTTAACGTTGTTGTTGGATTGAACGCTTTGATGCACAAGACTTAAATCTGTTGGGTGAAGAAATGCATTTCACTTCAATTATGAATAATCTTACTAGAATGTATTTCTCTTATATTATATTTTGTTATTTTTCTCCAATGACAATGCATTTCACTTCAATACTTTTGTTCTTTCTTATGTTAATATGGAGTATGTGAAAGTTGTATTTTATTTAACTAATTGAGTACTTCTTATGCCGTATTCTTATGGTTTGATGATGTTCTTAAATTGCAATCATATACAATTTTTCTTACACTGACTTTATGTGATTTAGGTATTACATTGTCTCTTTTTTTCGTCAAGTGGAAGTCATACACCCCTTATATAATAGGTATTATATTTTCTTTGTTTTTTGATATTTCACTTTTATTTTACCAATTTCTTTGGAAAGTTATCAACGGTTTAAATATTGACATGACTCGCACAAAATGTTCAAATATTATTTTCCCGTGTTTTCATTTTTTTCAATTTTTTTATAAGTTTACCCATTATTGGTACTTTTTTAACATTTCACTTTAATTTTAAATTTTTTCTACCTTATAAATAATAAAATAACTCCCACCATATTTCTGAATACCGTTTTTACACATTTATATTTTTCAAACTATATATTATCATTATTTGTATATTAAATAAATTCGTGCATCGCACGGGCCTGAAACTAGTTTTGTTTAAGAGTAGTCCCTTTGACGACTAAAATTCCTATTAAGCCCCCAGTTTATTATGCTTGTTTTAAATAATAATGTACTCTCTCCGATCAAGAGTAGTCATAACACGGTAAAAGAATTGGAGTCTCTAATAGTAATTTACTAATTTGAGGGACCCATTTCAAATTGTTAAAGAGTTCAAGATCAAATATCCTGAAAATAAAGAAAAATTCCCTAATTTTTGGGGAGTTTCCAGTGAAATTTTTATTAACCAAAAGTTAAAGATAGCTTGTGAAACTTCACAACACTAAGAGGAATTGGTGAACTATTCTTAAAGACACTAAAAAACTCCGCATGTACAAATATCACATGCCAAATGCTCAAATAAAAAGTTGACATGTGTCACCTTATCCTATTAGAAAGTATTATGAGTAATTCTATCTTCACCTGAATTCTTGTCAAATTAAAACTATTCTTATCCATAATTTAAAAATATAATAATCAAATACTTGTTAATCCTAATCAAATTACAACCATCCATTTTTTAAAATATAAAAGTTAATAATCATTTTTAATTCTCTTTTCCTTCAATTTCTTCCACTATTTTCCTTTTCTTACATTTTTAATTAATATTGCATTTTTTTAAAAAAAATCTCACATGGTCTTCCATATTTTTTACAGGGTAAAGTTCACAAAACCTCTAGTAACTTGGGGCACTTAGGACTAAACCCCAAAAATTTGTAACTCTCATTAAACCCCACAACAGATTTGAGAGTTTTAGCGAAAAGAAACACCCCAACATGTTATGGTTTTTCACTTAATCTTCATAATGGCATTATCTCATAATTTTACATCGTTCAAACTTAACCCTCAAGACCGATAAATTCCTCTCAGATCATTCCTACTTATGAGTTAGCCTATAAATTTCAAACAATCCTAAAAAATCAGGAGATTACAACACAAATCCCTCAAAAATAAATGTTATAGCCATTTAAAAAAAAATCTAAAAATTACAAAAAAATCCCTTAAAATCTAAAGATTATAAATTATAAATGACCCCTTAAAATTTTTAAAAATTACAAACAACTTCTTTAAAAAAATTTAAAACAAATACCTACAAATATGAAAATGATAGAAGAAACCCATAAAAATAAAAAATTGATCAACACCCTAAAAAATTTGAAATTGCAATCACCCCTTAAAAATCTAAAAGTTGCAAAGACCTTAGAAAGAAACCCTAAAATTTTACTAAAATATCCCAAGTGTTTTCAAAATTATAAAAAATAATAATTTGAAATAACCCCATTTTAAAATCCAAAAATGAAAAATAACGACTTAAAAAAAATCTAATAATCACAAACAACCCTCTTAAAAAATTTGAAAACTATAAAATGTAAAACTAGTTTGGGGCTTTTCTGTCAAATTTTAATGAGTTGACTAGACATGAGCTAATCATATTAATTTCAAGAGTTTTCTATCAAAAAAGTCATCAGGGTTTTAGTGATAAGTTTCAAAAATATTGGGGTTTTAATTCAATACATCTAAACTTTAGTGTGGGCTTAATGAAATGCAAACATATTTTGATTTTGGGACGATTACATGACATGACACTTGAATCTGGATCCGGGCGCGAGATCCGAGATTAAATTTCACGCCTGCATGATAAACTAATGCACCCATAGCGAGTCGTTGCGTCGTGTCCGGATAGCCGTTGGCATTCTGGCTGTTCCCTACCACGTGAGGCCGATTTGGCGTGACAGGAAGATGCCCTGTACTTTAAATATGTGATTCGTGTGCTTTGAATAATTATATTTTGACCCAATTTCCTGATACTGCTTATGTGCAAGGAAACTTTACATATATAGTAATATTTTTTATTCCATGCTGAAAAATGAATAAATCACCAATAAGGGTAATTTCGGAAATTTTAACTTAAACCAAAGTTTAACTTTACATTTATAGTGATCTATTTTTATACCAAAGTGTTCGATGTTAGAGTTTTTACCAAAAGTAGAAATAATAAAATTTTTATTAGAAGAGTCTTTTAAGGAAATAAATCGATCAAATTTAAAATCAAATCGGATTTATTTCCTAATCAAAATAGTCTCCTAAAACATGACTCAAAATGGTTAAAAACTGAAAAAAACTCTAACATCGAACACCAATCTGTTTTCGTTGACCCTGTCTCGAAAAAATACGTGATTTTTGTTGCAAGCCATTTTCTTCTGCCTGACCCGCATTTAGGCTTCTGACGGTCTAGTTTCTCCATGAATATAACCGTAGTGTGTTTTACGTCAAAATAACAAAATTCCTCTAAACGAGAGATCTACCACTTCACCTATTTAAATGAATTAAAAGGTAGTCTCTTAATATTTATAAAGAAAATAACATTATTAATTTTTATCCAAATTGGATGGATTCTATGTTAGTGATAGAACTTGAACTTCTATTTTCTCATTTCCAAGAACTAGCATTTTCACAATTCATTCCTTTTCAATTCTCAAATATCTCTTGATTTTTAACCCTCTTTGTTCTGCCCTACAATTCTATTTTTAAGTTATTGAATTGCAATTTTCACGTAAAAACTTTAAAAACACTATTGTTGACGTATTCTAGTTTGTAGATGTTGTACAAGAGGTGGCGTGGTTGGGTCGTTGAGCTCGTGTGACCGACCATCAGTTCAAGCTCAGGACAGGGTTGACCCCTGTCAGCACAAGTGTCAGGTGGCAACCTATCTCTAATGTAGTCGAGGTTTGATCACCTAAGCCAATGAACCACCTAGGTTCGCCGGTCGAGCCCGACCAACGTCATGATCATGTTCGACAATGAATTTCTTCGACTGTTTATTTTCACTTTAACTATTTAATCTTGTATTCTATTATAAAATTATATTTATTTATTTTTGACTATATCAAATCTTATTAAAGTGCTAAATTATATACTAATTATATATATAAAAACTATAATTATATATTTATATATATATATATATATATATATTATAATATATATATATATTATAATATATAATATATCAATATATAATTATATAATACTAAAATATATATATATATATAGAGAGAGAGAGAGAGAGAGAGAGAGAGAGAGAGAGAAGCTCCTATAAACTTAAGTGGATAGAAGCACTTGTCCACTAATTTTTTTATCCATTAAATTTGCTTTGAGATTTATGCTAGCATATGGTACATGCAATATCTCGAATATATCCTTTATATTTTTTCACAAATACTCAAAGCAAATATAATTGATAAAAAAGTTAGTGGAGAAATATCTCAATCCACTAAAATTTATAGGAGTTTTACTATATATATGTATGCATGTATATTTACACACACACTCACACACACATGCTCTACAAAGATAAACATCATAAAGAAAAATATCGCAAACGCAAAGATATATATAGTTTGGACTTCGAAGGAACACTGAGCTACGTGAGGCCCATTTATCTTTTGCTAAAAAACTAAATGTTTATAATTAAAGTCTGGTCGGGCAGGGCGAGGCTGAGCCGGGCAGGGTTGTGCTAGGCTAGGTCATCAGTGGCCTGAGCCTATGGTGGGTTGGGTCTACTTCTTTGGTCCTGAGTCTAGATTAAAACCCAGCTCGGCCCATGAACCATCACCAATGTGGGTCGGGCCGGGTTTAGACCCAAACCAGGTTGGGCTGGTTCAGACCACGGTTCGAACCGTCTCATGTCCAACCTTATGTACAAGTGAAAATTACTATTATAGACGAAGCTTTTTGTTTTTCTTAAAATTCTGAAAAAACATAATATGGATGAAAAATGT